TAAGGAAGAGGGATATTAATTAAGGGAGAGGGATATTAATTAAGGGAGAGGGATATTTCTTAAGGAAGAGGGATATTTATTAAGGAAGAGGGATATTAAGGAAGAGGGATATTAATTAAGGGAGAGGGATATTAATGGAGGCAGAGGCAGGTGCTGAGCTCCAGGGAAGGCTCGGTGATTCCCGCAGCTCCCAGGGAGCTGGAAGTGGACCAAGGCAATAATTCCCCAATTTCCTCAGGTTTTCAGAGGCTCTGGAATTGCCCAACCCTTGGGCAGGGGCTGGAACGGCCCGGATTGTTCCCGGGACAAAGGGAATCACCGGGGCGTGGAGAACAGGGAGCAGCAGGGCCCGGTGACCCTCGGGAACGGGATCCATCCCTCACCTCAGCTCCTCCAGCTCCTTCTTCTTCTTCAGCTCCTCCTTCTCCCTCCTCTTCATCTCCTGGATCTGGGCCTTCTTCTCGTTCCGCTCCTCCCGATCCCGCGCTTCCCGCTCGGCCGCCAGGTCCGGGAACCGCTCCACCTTCGTCTTCTCCAGCCGGTTCAGGATCTCGTTCACCTTCTTCTCCACTGTCAGCACCTTCACCTGGGAATGCCGGGAATCACAGAGGGAAACATGTTGGGAATCACGCCGGGAAACGTGCCAGGAGTGGGGAGAGGCCCCGGAACTGCTGCCCACCCGGCATGGGGCTGCATCCCACAAAATCACAGTCCCAGGAAAATCCCAGCCAAAAGGGCTGGATCCCACTGAACCAGAGCCTGGGGAGAATCCCTGTCACAGGGCTGGATCCCACAAAACCAGAGCCTGGGGAGAATCCCTGTCACAGGGCTGGATCCCACTGAACCAGAGCCTGAGGAAAATCCCTGTCACAGGGTTGCATCCCACAGAACCAGAGCCTGGGGGGAATCCCTGTCACAGGGCTGGATCCCACAGAACCAGAGCCTGAGGAAAATCCCTGCCACAGGGCTGGATCCCATAAAACCAGATCCTGAGGAAAATCCCTGTCATGGGGCTGCATCCCACAGAACCAGAGCCTGGGGAGAATCCCTGTCACGGGGCTGGATCCCACAAAACCAGAGACTCAGGAAAATCCCTGTCATGGGACTGGATCCCATAAAACCAGAGCCTCAGGGAAATCCCTGTCACAGGGTTGGATCCCATAAAACCAGAGCCTGGGGAAAATCCCTGCCATAGGGCTGGATCCCATAAAACCGGAGACTCAGGAAAATCCCTGTCAAAGGGCTGGATCCCATAAAACCAGAGCCTGGGGAGAATCCCTGTCACAGGGCTGGATCCCACAAAACCAAATCCTGAGGAAAATCCCTGTCACAGGGTTGGATCCCACAGAACCAGAGA